ACGAACAATTAACGCCACCTCGACCTTCAGCATCCCACCAACACCCAGAGGGAGCGACGCGGGGTGAAGGCGGAGGAGGCGAGTGGTGGAGAGAGAGACAGACAGACAGAGAGGCAGAGAGAGAGAGAGGCAGAGCGAGAAACAGAGAGAGACAGAGAGAGATCGCGATGGCCTTTAACTCTTCAATGTGAGAGCCAATTGTTGTCGAGATGAACTTTTTAGATATTTGAAATGTTATCAAGTGCGTTATTTTCCTTTGTGTTTCATGTTATGCATAGTCATCACACTACTGCCATCCGCCTAGGGAGAGACGTTCTTTGCTTAAAAATTGGCAGACTCGCTGGAACGGATGCCACTGCATGTGTGCGTGCATTCCGCACACACACACAAAACAATACAAAATCGAGTGTAGCCTTAACAGACTGTTGGGGCAAGTGCTGTTAGCAATTAGCACCTATGAAGGCCGGAACGGTACACGAGGGGGGTGTGTGGCCAGCACCACGCCCGACCGCCTTTGTCTCCCCAGTGGCGATGTTTACGCACCACACCACGTATTCATTTGAGGCTGAGTCGACCTAGAAGAGGCCCAGGACCGGTTCAAATAATCGTCACCGGTGTTGGCCGTGACTGGGAACGCGAACTCGTGTCGCCCGGGGTCACAGCACAGCGCGCTAACCGCTACACCACCGCTCCCCACACACACGCGCCGCTGTTGTCGAAGTAGCTGCCGTGGAAGCATTCATTTGAACGTTAGAATTTGAATGGCTCCCAAAAGCACCGCGTATGTGTGCGCGTGTATCCAAGTGTCCTTGTAGTATGCAGTCGTGTATAATTGTGCGGGGCATTTATCGCTTTGCGCTACGAACCCAACAGGGAACCGAGTTCGAATCCCGCTCGCGGCCACCAACACCAGTGAAGAATATGTGAACCGGCAATGGGCCTCCCCTAGGTCGACTCAGTCTCAAATGAGTACCTGGTGCGGTGTGTAAACATCGCCACTGGGGATACAAATGCGGCCGGGCGCGGTCCCGGCCACCCACCCACCCCCTCGTGTGGCGTGCCGGCCTTCATTGGTGCTCGCTAACAGCACTTGCCCCAACAGTCTGTTAAGGCTATACCGGGGATATTTGTCTTTGTACGTATTATGTGTGTGTGTATGTGTATGTGTGTGTACATCAATCAGTTTTCCATTGCCCGTGTTGACACGCTGCGCGTCTCTCGGGACCATACTGGCCAGCAAGGTACGATTTAATGCATACATACGGGTAGATAAATAACATGCAGTGGCATATGAAATCAAATATAGGACATAAGAACTAAAATAAATATATAAGCCCAAAAGGGGATGGAGCGGTGGCGCAGTGGTGAGGGCGTCGTGCTATGAACCCCGGTGACCCGACTTCGGTTCCGACTAGCACCGGTGGCCAGTTATATCTGAACCGGTCCTGTGACCTACGTGTGGTGAAGTATGGTCAAACAGCCCTCGTCACCCCCCTCCCCCCTCTCCTCCCCCACCCCTGTGACCTACACAGCGTTGGTGAGGTCTTCATCAAGCATTGTATTGATCCAAACCTGTCAGTTATCATCATTATCATCATCATCATCGAGAAACAAATCATGATCCGTGAAAAATTAAAATAGCTTTTAACCCTTTCTGGCAATGAAACAGGAGGTGTTAGGATGTCCAAACACCACGTAGTAACCTTTTGCAAGGAAGGGCCGTACTTGTGTTGAACAAAAGGCATTTTGGCGTTCTCTGGTCTGACACTGGGAGTGAGGCTAGGCCCTCAAGAGGGCTATCTCTGGTGGTGAAGACCAATCCGTGTCAAAGACAATGCCCATACATCACTCTCAGAGCATGTTTTGTGTTTGCATGGTCACCACAAGAGCCGTGTGTGGATAATGCAGTCAGGGTTCCTTGCAAAGCGGTTTCTACGTGGGGTGTTTGGACATCTTAACCGCCTCCTGTTTCATTGCCAGAAAGGGCTAAAACCTATTCTAATTTTTTTATACTTTCACACTGGCGACAAAAAAACATAAAGCGTCCCAGGCCATGATGTCGTCATATCTGGGAAGTTAAGCAGCTTTCAGGCTGGCGAGTGCTTGGGGGTCGTCCATAAATGACGTCACGCACCTGGGGGAGGGGGGGGGTCAGCCATTTGTGACGATGTGTGACGAGGGGGGGGAGGGGGGTTGAGAAATGTGACGTCACATCAAAATGCGCAACTTTAAATAAATATAGACAACACGTTCTACTTAATTAAATAGACTTTTTAATGAATGTTTTCTCCTACAACATCAGAGTGCAGCGGCACATTAAATACTCACTACAATGACGATAGTTTAAAGCGATTTGAAGCATGTTTCATTTTCAAAATAGAAATATGGTTTGGGGGAGGGGCAGAGCTTTGTGGACGTCATATTTGAGGGGGGGGGTCTGACTTTTTGTGACGCCGTGTGACGAGGGGGATGGTGGGGGTCAAAAATCGTCCCAAATCGCGTGACGTCATTTATGGACGGCCCTTTGGAGCAGGTGTTATAGGCTCCTGCGTGGCGCATCAGAGGGCGGTGCAGCACCACTCCATTCGCGAACTCCGGTCATGATGAAATCGGGGTCGTCCTGAGTGTGACACCTGCGACTCACGGTGGCTCTGCCTGGATAAGTAAGTGATCATCTATGGACATGTGTGAAATGACAAAAGAGAGCTACGTAACTCTTGGGATTCCTCCCGTGTAAATTCCCATTCTGAGTCTCAATGGTCATACCCCAGGCGAGACGGTGCATCGACGCGTACACTTCCTCTACTCTGGCTACCCGCGAGATGTTCCGATTTGTTGTTGTTGTTGTTGTATTGTAGAGGTGGCAACCATAGTGGTGATTAGGGTCCGTCTATAAATGACGTCACGCGATTTTGGACGTCACACGGCGTCACACAAGTCAGACCCCCCCTCAAATATGACGTCACAAAGCTCTGCCCCCCCCCCCAAAAAAAACATATTTCAATTTTGAAAATAAAACATGCTTCAAATCGCTTTAAACTATTGTCGTTGTAGCGCGTATTTAATGTGGCGCTGCACTCTGATGTTGTTGTAGGAGTGTTGTTGTAACAATAACAATTAGTGTTGTTATAACAATTCTATATTTATTTAAAGTTGCGCATGTTGATGTGACGTCACATTTCTCAACCCCCCCCCCCCCCTCTCGTCACACATCGTCACAAAAATCTGACCCCCCCCCCCCCCGCCGGGAGAGGGGGTGGGGGTATGGGGGAAGACTGGAGGGAGAGCCTCTCCCCCCAGCCCCTATCAGCCGGGACTTGCTCCGCACAGCCCCATCGTTCCCCTACTCGTAGTCTCACGCCGAGGCCTGTGCTGCATCCGCCGTTGTGCCAAGTAAACTATCAGCGCAGCTATTTCATTTCATTTGACCAGCTGCTATATATATAGACGATTATTCAGAGGCGACCTGGTTATCACAAATGAAAGCTCAACGAAGTGGACTCATCACGTGGAAATATGTGTCCAAACAACCCTGGACGCGCGATGTTTATTCTACATATGCAGGGGAAAATCCGGAGGACCCAGAGAAAAAATCCACGCGACCACGGGGATAAGAGAGAGAGAGAGACACGCGCAAACTCCAAATATACAGCAACAGCAGGCGTCAGGGTCGGGATCGAACCCACGTCCTCCTGTTTAACATGCGAGGTAGTTAACATCTCCTAGCCACCGTGATGATGATGAGTGTGAGACACGCAAACTCCAAATATACAGCAACAGCAGGCGTCAGGGTCGGGATCGAACCCACGTCCTCCTGTTTAACATGCGAGGTAGTTAACATCTCCTAGCCACCGTGATGATGATGAGTGTGAGACACGCAAACTCCAAATATACAGCAACAGCAGGCGTCAGGGTCGGGATCGAACCCACGTCCTCCTGTATAACATGCGAGGTAGTTAACATCTCCTAGCCACCGTGATGATGATGAGTGTGAGACACGCAAACTCCAAATATACAGCAGCAGGCGTCAGGGTCGGTATCGAACCCATGACCTCCTGTACACCAGGCGAGGTAGTTAACATCTCGCCACCACGTCGGGACAGCTGCCACTGTAGGGACAGCTGCCACTTGGCTATACTGCCGTGGGGAGCTGGAATGGCTGAGCCGAGACGTGTAATGTAAGGCGGCCGTGAGCTCGAGACGTTCAAGCCCCGTACGTATCCTTCAAAATAAGATCAAAGTAATTCTCAAGAGAGGTGGCGTCATTTATTGATAACTTCAACAATATCCAGCATAAGAAATTTGAGTTTAATTACAACACCGGAAAACCCATTCAGCCAACCCACGAATAACTTGCAGAATAACCCACCACGCCTGCTATGGACTCTAGCTCAGGTACGCTCATGTTTGCTACTATATGTGAATGCGATCACTGTTTTTGGAATCATCGAGTACACATTTGGTGCTCATCACCCGTTTTTTTCAAGCGCCGCACAGCCAGTGGTGGATATTCCACGTTGCTATGACAGGAGTGAGTTTATCCACTGAATAAACACTGTTGATCTTTCCCCACACAAAGTGGTACCTATTTTATCGACCCCCCCCCTTTCGCCCCCGATAAGATGATGGGCTGAGTCAACCACCCCCACCCAACTAGGATTGTAACTCGTAACCTTCCGATATCAGAGCCCCTATCACTTCATCCATGTTTCTATCAAGGCGAATAATTATTTAATTCTGTATTTTCCGCCCCCCCCCCACCCCCACCCCAACTTCATTAGAGTTGAGCGATAGTGACATAAAAAAAAATCAATCATCATTTAGGTAATTTCACCATGAGAAATAGACACCGCAAGAACTACTTCCGAGATCCACTCGGTTTAACCCGTAAGCCACGAGGGGTTCAGGGCACTTTAACACGCGCCCTGATACTGAGAAATGCTCATTTAGAGTAATCACACGATATCTTAAAAGCCTTCATTTACCCCAAAAAAAAAAAATTCGCGAAAAACCCAAACTGACGTAACCCTAATTGAGTACTGTGCACGGACTATTGAATTATGTTGGCACATTTGGATCACGACAACGGCACACAGCGGCCTCGTCTTGCGAGTGACGGCGTTGGATCTTTAACGTCCGCCGTCAGTAAAGCGGACGGCGCGCGGGGAGAACAATCTTTTTTGTTTGTTTACAATCGATCCGCACCGCAGCATTAATCGGGGCGGCCGCTGGATCCGAAACCGTGAACCTCTGCAAGGTCAAGCGGAGGATGCCGCTACCTGCAACGCCAATAATTGTCTGCCGATGCTGCCGAAGGGCCATTGCCCCCGAAACGTCGCATATGTACAGTGTTATTGAGGTTTTTTTTTCGTTTTCATTCACTCATTATCAGCATCACCACGAGGCCCAGCCCCAAACTAATTGAGGGTTCTACTGTAGCTCGCCATGAAGCCCGGGTAGACTTGGGTGCCGTCGGTGTGGAGTTGTATGACCATGTAGTTGCCGCTCGACGTGACGGTGAACGATGGCTTCGAGCCGCAGTATTTGCCGATCTGCGCTCGCACGCACGCACAGCCCAAATCGATGAACGGCCAATCAAACGGGGCTAAGCAGAGATAATTGCGAAAGGCGCGCTTCACGAGAGCACGGAAGGGATAGTTATGATCGTTGCAAGGCAGCTGGGGGGGGGGGGGAGCCTTTGGCCTACTCTTCCTTATCGATACTAAATAAATAAATACACCGTTTTAAAAATAAAATTAATAAATGCGAACCGACACTTCTTTCAAATGTTTCTTTCCGTTGGGTTTTTCACACCTGATGATGACCGTTTGCGTTATGGTCGAAAGGTCGTGAGAATTTTGATTGTTTTATATATATTTTATTATTTTATTGTTTCCCTCAACGTGACTTTACCGAAAGAGCTAAGAATATGAATTTACTGCAGTCACGAAAGCTTTAAATCAAAATTTGATACTGAACCCGTGAAGCCGAACAGAAACCCCGCAATGAATCGTCCGCTGATCTAACTATGGGCCCGTCGTGCAGTCTGTGCTCCCTTCAGTAGACGAAGGGGTGCAGATAGGTGGACATTGGGGGGGGGGGGGGTGGATGTGAAAAAGAGAGGCATCATAATACTAATTCACAGCCCTTTGCAAACCTACTGGCTGCTTAACCGGAAGGTGAATTTGTAGCTGTTGCGCTCTACGTCAGCCGTGCGAAAGAAACCGCAGAGAGAAGGCCAACACGTTACAACTCTTGTCAGTGCAGGTTAATGAATGTTGGGGGTGGTGTGTGGGGTGGGGGGGGGGCATTAGGGGGGGGGGGTAGAGGAAAGCCCCCCCCCCAACCCCCACCTCTCACCTGCGGCGAGCTGAGCCCTGGGCCATTGTATGCGGCGACGTAGTCGTAGGGGCAGAGGGCGGTGCCGAACTCCAGCATGAAGATGCTGCTCACACCGGCCAGTGACGTCACAATAGGCATCAGCATTGTCGTCGTCGTCATCGACACGCGGTGTGAGGTTTAGCACGGGGAAGCAAGAAGCAAGGCCACGGGCTCACAGCCGGAAGAGGTTCGCGGTTCGCATTGGACGGGCGGTGGCATACGGAGAAGGTCACCTGAAGGTCACTTCGATTCGCAGTCCCACCGGTGCCGAGAAGTTGTAGAAGCAGTTGAGCCGATTGGCGTAGGCGACCGGGTAGCCGGGGCTCACGAAGTTGCCCTGGACGTTGCTGAACGTGGCGTTGCACGGCGTGACTGTGGATGGGGAGACGGAGCCGCGTGAGAAGACTCCGCCATGCCCCCCCCCCCCCCCCCGGAACCGTCCGCTCCCTTTGAGCCGTTGACCCCAAAACCGGCGAACTTTGGTACCCTTGCGGGTGGCGCAATGGGACGACGATTATCTCCTAGCGTGTCGCCTCTGCATCTCGCGTGTGCACGATAGCAAGGCGCACGCGGTAGCTTTGTTGTGAGACAGAGAGAGAGGGAGAGAGAGAAGTCACCGAAGAGGGCACCGCGCGTATGCCACGTTTGACACCGATGCAGCCTTCAACTGCTCGACGGATGCGACGAGGCACGCGATGCTGCCGTCCTTATGCTCGCCCGCAGCACGTGGTCCCCCCCTCCCCCCAACAAATACGCCGAATCTGCTACACGGTGGGTATGTTTTTCTCTCTCTATATATATTCGTGTGTGCTCGGCATTGCGCGAGTGTGTTGGTTGTGTCAGCGCGGGGGTGCGGGGCTCGTGGGTGTGGGCGTGGGGGGTGTGTGGGGGGAGGGTGTGTGGGGGGGGTGTCACACCTGCCGAAGGTGGGGTGAGGGTAACCCCCGGGGGTATGATCCCCCCACAGTACGCGTTGTTGATCTTCAATACGTCCAGCGTGCTCATTCCTTCCCTCTGCCCGATCAGCACCTGCTCGCCACGCGCCGGTGACCACCATTGGCACCACCAACAACCTCGACCCCGCCTCTCTCGCCTCAAGCCCTCGGCCCACGGTCGCAAGGCCTCGGGCCGATCGAATGAATTCGCTCTGTGGTCATCGTGTGCGGTCGTGTGGGTGAGGATGTAGCGCCGTCATTGCGGTTTGTGCTCAGGCATTGCGAGGGTGACCGTGGGGTTTTCGGTTTAGGGTTGCGGTTATGATCGTGGTTGATTGTGGGTGTGGTTGTGCTCGTGGTTGTGGTTGTAATCTTGGTTGTTGCTTGTGATCGTGGTTGTGGTTGTGATCGTGGTTGTAGTTGTGATCGTGGTTGTTCTTTGTGATAGTGGTTGTGTTTGTGATCGTGGTTGTGATCGTGGTTGTGATCGTGATCGTGGTTGTGGTTGCGATCGTGGTTGTGTTTGTAATCTTGGTTGTTGCTTGTGATCGTGGTTGTGATCGTGGTTGTGATCGTGGTTGTGATTGTGGTTGTTCTTTGTGATAGTGGTTGTGTTTGTGATCGTGGTTGTGTTAGTGATCGTGCTTGTGATCGTGATCGTGGTTGTGATCGTGGTTTTGTTTGTGATCGTGGTAAGTGTTTGTGATCGCGGTTGTGATCATGATTGTGATCGTGGTTGTGATCGTGGTTGTGATCGTGGTTTTGTTTGTGATCGTTGTTAGTGTTTGTGATCGCGGTTGTGATCATGATTGTGATCGTGGTTGTGTTCGTGGTTGTGATCGTGGCTGTGAGGCATCGAGCACCGTGTCATCCGGGATGGGTACGATGGTGGGCAGCATGTTGGAGCTGTAGGTGTATTTGCTGTAGTGCATCACGGAATTGTAGTCGTACGGTCCCACAGCGTTGTTGGTGGACATTATCTGGAAGTTGTACTCCTTCCCTGTGGGGGCAGGCAAAGGAGGAGGGGGCACAGGGGGTGGGGCACACGCGGGGGGCGGGGGGGGACCCTCCACCACCCGACGAGACGACGCTGATGAATTGACCGCGTGAGATTTTTCGCCACCGATGTCACCGTTCACATTTGACTTTCGGGTGAGACAGATTACCGCGTAAGTTCACACACGCGCCGTAACCCCATCCTCCAGCCGACACGCCGATCAAGAAAGCTGCCGTGTGAGGAATGGACGTGGCCAATGCGTCGCTGCTGCTTCAGCAGCGCCTCCACCGGCCGCATTGCCGGGAGAGCGATCCAGGCGACCTTTGGTGATCGTTAAATCGGCCACGTTTGTTCACCGCGCGACAGCTTCGTGTCGGGTGGAGGAGGGGTTTTACGACACATATGTAACTTGTGTGATTTGAACCCCCCCCCTCCCCCCCAGCCAGATGTAGTTTTATTCATCACGACGCTGATGACCACGACGTTGAAGAGAACGACAAGGAGGATGATTGAGGATTGAGGAGGAGTCGGAGGAGGAGCCAGGGGAGGAGGAGGGGCCCAGTGGAGGAGCCAAGAGCGGAGGAGGAGGAGCCAGAGGAGGAGCCAGGGCAGGAGGAGGGGCCAGAGAAGGAGCCGAAGGAGGAGCCAGCGGAGCAGGAGGAGCCAGACGAGGAGCCAGGGGGAGCCGGAGGAGGAGCCGGAGGAGGAGCACGCACCGCTCATGATGTTTGCGAAGAGGATGCGCACGTGCGCGTCGCGGTCGGTGCGCGACTGCTCGTGCACGAAGCCGAGCGCGTGCATCGTCTCGTGGATGATGACGCCCTTGTAGGTGCACGAGCCCGGCATGATGGACACCGCCGTCGATGTGTGCTGCTGGTAGCCGATGCTCCCGGAGCACCTGGCGCGGTCACGGAGAGGTGTTGGGTGGGGGGGGGGGGGTGAGGAGTGGTGAGCATGGAGGGAGAGGTGGGAGAAGGAGTGGGAGGGATGGAGAGTGCGAGGGAGGGGAGAGATGGTGGAAGGAGTGGGAGGGAGAAGGGAGCGGGGAGATGTGGAAGGAGGAATGGGAGGGAGCGAGAGGTGGGAGGAGGAGTGGGAGGGATGGAGAGGGCACGCACTCCTCATCTTGCCGTGAGCAGAGCACGAGGTTCACCGACGGCGCAGAGGTTCGCGGGTCGAGCCCCAGCGGCCGCCCCGGTTAACACCGAGGTGCGGATCAACCGGCGGTGGTCAAAGATCGCAAAGACGTCGTTTGGTAAGACAGCCGCGGGTCATCGTGCGCCGGCTGCAAGTGTGGCACGCGCACAAACGGTTTGACTTGTGCACTCACGGCTTCTGGGGGGGGGGGGGGGTGAGCTAGGCCAGGGATCGGCAACCTCCAGATCAGTCCAGGTTACCATGGAAGTCCAGTTCACCATGGAAGTCCAGTTCACCATGGAAGTCCGGGTTACCATGGAAGTCCGGGTTACCATGGAAGTCCAGTTCACCATGGAAGTCCGGGTTACCATGGAAGTCCGGGTTACCATGGGGCAAGGTTCGGCAACCTTTGGCACTAGAGCCGCATTGAGGATTGTTTCGTGACCGTTATTTATCAAGGACCGTCTCTCCAATTCACCACGTACACCGCGGCTCTTGAAATATTAAAGCAATTTTATATATATATACCTGTACCGAATTAGACGCGAAAAAAAATCGCTCTTCTTGCTGTTTTCGTTGCCAACCCCTGGGCTAGGCCCCTGTGTCGCTGTCCACTTCAACCACAGGGGCACCGAGGAATGGCCGTGGCTCCACACTGCTCACATGCCGCCGTTGTAGAAGTTGACGTAGCTCGCCTCCGACGTCCGTGGCAGGAAACGGAGGCACGTCTTCGTCTGGAAATCCTGGAACGCCTGCGCAAACACGGCCAGATTCTCCGGGCCTAAATATGACACCCGGAGGAAGATGGGGGGATGGGGCGGAGGGGGGGGGGGTTGATGGGACACGCACAGATGGGTTAGGCCAGTGGCGTAGCAACTGCATTATCAGAACAGGGGGTGCGGCAATCGGTCAGATGGGACTCCAATATTCGATATCGCTGGCCTGACCTAATCGCATCGTTGCGCTCACGGACTTCGAACACTTCACGCTCTGGGGAGCGCTCCGTATTCGCAAAAAAAAAATGCGTTTTGTTTCATTTACACTTCTGGAAAAAAAACATATCGCATGGTTGTTGCCAAGGGGATTCCCCAACTCGCAGCTTAGCGACGAGGGAGGCGCGGAGGGGGGCAAGGCACCCCCTGCCCCCACGCTCGTTACGCTGCTGGCTTTGAAGGATGCGCGTGTCTTATAAGTTCCCCACAGGTCGTCACGATCACCGCGAGTGACGGCCGCTTCTCACGCCGCGGAAACACTTCCACGCGCGCCCGGCACGCCACATTCCATTGGGCCTCTCCGCTGCGGCTATTCCGCGTCTCGGCTCCCGCCCAAACCCGCAGTCTACGAGCGACAGAGACAATGAGCGAGACGGCGTGAGACCGTGTCCATGGGGGACCAGGTCCTCACCTGGCACACCACGTCCGGTCTACACCAACGGTGGCTGCGGCCACGACCGATCACCACGGACCACCGATTAATTTCCTTGGAACTGATTTGCTTTTGTTTTTTTGCTGTGTTTAGTTTGTCCGACGTACGCACATTCCCGCCGGTCTACCCGGCGACGCACGACAAGGCACGTTCGCGCATCGGCACACCGCGTCCACTACTCGGCACACGCTGCCGGACATGGTGCGTACTGTAGTACGAGGAGAAGGCGTAGGGGATGCGAACCAGGCCGTCGGGGGACGCGGGCCACCGCGCCGAAGGGTCGCTCACGATGCTGCGGATCGCATTCGCCTTCTGCAAGCGGCGCTCACGTGCGCAACCAGACAGCCAGACAGACAAGCGAGCGAGCGAGTGAGCGAGCGAAGGGCGTTGTAGGCGAGAGCTCTTGGGGTAGTGCCTGCAAAGGCCGGCACGGCACACGAGGGGGTGGGTGGCCAACACCACGCCCGGCCGCCTTTGCCTCCCCAGTGACGATGTTTACACATCGCACCAGGTACTCCTTTGAGGCTGAGTCGACCTTAGGGGAGGCCCAGGCCCGGATCAGATAATCGAGGGAGTTTGGTTGGTTGGGTTGCCGGCACCGCGTCACGGCCTCAACCTTTGTCTCCCCCAATGCTGGCGTGCTCGCATTTTAAGGCCGAGTCGACCTAGGGGAGAGGTCCAATGATGGACTGTTGTTTTTTTCCTCCCCCCCCTCCCCTTCCAGATATTCGTCACTGAAAAATGGGTCGCAGGCGGGAGTCGAGACTCGGGCTCGCCGGCTTTCGAAGCGCAGTGCGCGAGCTACTGCGCTGCAAACACCGCGCGGGCGGACACGGCGACACGCGCTGCAATCACGTCCACGCGTCACCACGTGCATCGCGACTTCGCGTGACGTCATGATGTCGTATTAATCGGATCGGGGGAATTTTGGGGTCGGGGAATAATTTTTCGCTTGTTGTTTGTGCACACCCGCAGCGCACGTCGTAGGGGCGAGCTCCCGACTCTCAGGTGGATTCGGAAAATCCGAAGGATTGGGCCGAGGTGGCGACATCTGCGCGCGGTCCAAATTCTTGCCTCGCTTCGGATGTGTCCGGAGTTGTGACGTCACGCGGCGTGACGTCACAAACGGGCAAGTCACTTCCGTGAGTTTTCCCCGCCAAAAGTGGTGTCGCGTGGCGTCTGGTTACGTCACTATATAGGATGAGGCACAGCGGTGGCTAGGAGATTTTAACTACCTCGCCCGGTATACAAGAAGGATCGTGGGATCGATCCCGACCCTGACGCCTGCTGTATATTTGGAGTTTGCGTGTCTCTCTTCCCTTGGTCGCCTGGATTTTTCTCCAGATCTTCCGGTTCACACCCCCCCCCCCCCCCACACACATTTAGAATCAACATCGCACATTTAGAGTAATGTGGCCCCAATACATTTCCACGTGATGAGCCACTTCTCTAAGCTCGCATTTATGGCCTGGTCGCTTCTGAAAAAGAGCTATCTAGCTCAATGTGCCTCACCAGGTAAAATAAATAAAAATGAGTAGCCCAGATTAAAAACAACCAATTGAGCAATGAATGATGACTATTGATGGAGAGACCTGGGATACACAACATTGACGTGGTTATTCCAGCTAAAACACACACACACGAACAACACGCGACTATTACAAGCGGTGGATCGACCATAGTCGACAATGATGACGATGATGATGACGACGACGATGATGACGATGATGATGACGACGACGATGATGACGATGACGACGACGATGCTGATGATGAGCATGCATTTTAGAGCATTTGGCTGCAATACATTTCCCACGTGGTAAGCCACTTTGTTGAGCTATAATGCGTGGCCATGTCGCTTCTGAAAACGAACTGTACAGCTGAGTGGGCCTTACCTGGTAAAATAAAATAACAAAAAATTGTCATTTTGTGAGCGCTTAAACCCGACACGTTTGTCACCTCGCGCAAGTTTAGCTGTGAAATGTTCATGAATCCGAGAGGCATCGCTGGCCTGCTGCATTACCGGGGGTATGATGTCTCCTTCTAGGAGTCCCATCTCTTTCACTTTGCCTGCAAAAAAGAACCAAGCAGGTAGGGTTAATCATCATCGCCATGAAAACGTTGTCCAATGTATGCACGTCGAACTTCTTTCGCACCGTACGTAGCCAACCGTGCAATCGCCCGGATCACTTACCCCCCCACCGCCCACCCTCCACACAGCGCCCTCTCTGCCTACCCCCGGACACGGCGGTTGGGGGGTGGGGGGAGAGAGGAGGTTCTGGGAATTATTTTCTGGAGCCAAGCCCTGGGCAGCTCCGGCTGAAGTGAAGTCCTGGAATGTGTGGGTGCGTGTGTGAGCGAGTGGACGTGCATGAGCGGTGGTGCAGCGGTTAGCGCCACGCTGCGCTACGAACCTGGCGACTCGGGTTCGATTCGCGCTCACGGCCGACACCGGCGACGATTATCTGATCCGGGCCTGCGCCTCCCCTAAGGTCGACTCAGCCTCAAAGGAGTAGCTGGTGCGATGTACAAAGATCGTCACTAGGGAGACAAAGGCGGCCGGGCGTGGTGTTGGCCACCCACCCTCTCGTGTGCCGTGCCGACTTTTATAGGTGGTCGCTAACAGCACTTGCCCCTACATGCTGTTACAGGCTACACGGGGGAAGTTTGTCTTTGTTGTATGAGTTTGAGTCGATGTGGCTCTGATTGAGCTTGTGTCGGTGTATATATGTGAGCGTCTGCATGGGTGTGTATGCCGGTAGTGCAGTGGGACAGGGCGCTGCACTACTAACCCGGCGACTCGAGATCAATTCTCGCTGAGGGCCAACATCGGTGACGATTATCTCAGCCAGTCCCAGCCTCCCCTAGGTCGACTCAGCCTTAAACATGAGTACCCGGTGCAGTGTGTGTGTGTGTAGACATCAGTACCAGGGAGACAAAGGCGGCCGGGCGTGGTCTTGGCCACCCCCACCGCCTCGCGTGCCGTGCCCGCCTTATCCAGGCGCCCGCTAGCAGCGCTTGCTAACCAACATCCCCGTTGTGTTGCGGGGAACGAACCTTCATTGACCCTGACGATCAGGTCGTGGATGGTCTCGTCCGTCGCTCGCAACGTGCCAGCGCTCTCTGCGAACACGGCGCGACAACGCCACAGCACGGCACAGGGGACGGTTAGAGCAGTGTGCTCTGCATCTTAAGGGCCTCGGGGGCCGCTGGCGGGCACCCTGGGTGGCCCTTAGTGCGGCCCCTGACATTGCAGAGATGGTGACACCGCCCCACAACCCCCACCGCCCACCCCGTCATCACCATCGTGCTTGCTGTCAAAGCCCCGGTGGCGTCAAATGCGTGGCGGCTCTCACGCGCTGATGATGTCCGACCAGCGCTCGGATTAATCCTCGTAGCAAAAGTAGCTACATATGTAGTAGCTACTACATATGTAGTAGTAGCTACACATGTAGTAGCTATATAAGTCGCTACATGTGTAGTAGTAGCTACGGGCCCGCACTTTCAAGGGCCCCGCGCTAAATGTTTTCAAGCTGTCAATTCCGGTTCAATTAATCTGCACTTGCTCCATTGCTATAGTACTATACCGTCTTCAACTTTTATAAACGAGTCGGTGTTTAAGGTTAGCGATTTGTCGTATTATCTGGCTGTATGGCAAATGAAAAAATAAAATTAATTCACTATGCAAGTTAAAAATGTCTGTTTTAATATTTACTTTTAAAAAATATATTTAGGGCCCCTTTATCACATATGCTACAGGCCCCGCACTAGCTTAATCCGGCACTGCCCCCGACTCCCCCCCTCTGAAAATGACGGCCAACACCAGTGATGATTATTTGAACTAGTCCTGGGTCTCCCCTAGGTCGACTCGGCCTCAAATGAGTACCTGGTGCGGTGTGTAAACATCGCCACTCGGGAGACAAAGGCGGTCGGGCGTGGTACTGAACACCCACCCCCTCGTGTACCGTTCCGACCTTCATAGTTGCTCGCTAACGGCAATTGCCCCCAACAGTCTGTTAAGGCTATACGGGAGGTCTCTTTGTCTTTGATGATGACGATGATGATGTTGGTGATGATGCGTACCCGGTGACGCCGCCTGACCAGCTCTGGAGTCGCTCGCAAAATGAGGCGCGCTCGGTATCTGCACAGAGCAACAACACAAACAACACAAACAACACAAACATCACAAACAACACAAACAACACGAGCACGTGACACAACAGCTGCACGACAGGCACATCACGCACGCGCATTGGCTGATGGTGATGCTGCTGCTGCTGCGTTGGCATCGGTGCACCGATGACTAAAAACAAGAATATTCAACGCGTTTGTCAAGAATGAAACTGCGCAACGTTTCGGGCAATGGCCCTTCTTCACAGCACACAAATAGTCGAGAAAGGTAGAGGCATGGCCCCCTTTATTAGCTATGAAACAGGCCCATTGCTCGAAACGTCACCGATTAAACGAGTACTTTTTTTTCGTCCATTTTAAGGCCGCACAGCGATTGACAAACGTGCGTGGTCGTTCATCACAGCCACGATTCGTGAGAGTGTGGGCCCTCGCGCGCTTTCAACCAGCTTCGGCGTCACGCTCTACGGGACGAGAGGCCAGTCTACTCGGTGCGAGGCGGAGGGAAGCGGCCAACGAATGGCGAAGTGTGCAGCGGACACACACGGGGCTGTCCGCTCCGTGGATCGTGGTGACGATGATGACCCTCCTCGACTCACTCACTCGACCACCCGACCCGTTGAGGCCCTGATGCGAGCACGACTACTCAGGGTTGAGCGGGCTACGTTGGCACATCGCAGCTCCTCGTGGCGACCAACGTCGCAGTATACAACACCGCGACACACGCAAGGCAACGTGCGTTTAATGATGCCAGTGGACACTCATCCGTCGGTGTGGACTTCTTCTGCTCAGTGTGCGACATCTCGGCGTTTGACCTCTGATCTAATTGTGTGACCTGCTCGCAAAGTGTCTCACCCCTCGATTCATCAGCCAGCCACCCATCAAACCGCTTCAGCCACTCCAACTCCACCAGACCATCTCTCACCCAACCACCACCTATTTCAATTACTTCCCTCCACTCCACCAGCAACATATCAAAATCGTCTGGAGGAATGCAATGAGCTATTAAGCTCTTTTTTTCACAGATGTCCAGTATGGGCGGGTCACCACCAGCTAAAGCACTCAACTCCACCAGACCATCTCTCTTAGCTAACCACCCCCCACTTGAAGCCCACTCAACTTCTACACCTCACCGTCTCTCGCCCATACACTCACGACTACCAACCACCACCACCCACTACCACCACCACCTACCACCACCACCCACTACCACCACCACCCACCACTACCACCCACTACCACCACCACCACCACCCACTACCACCACCCACAACCACCACCCACTACCACCACCACCCACTACCACCACCACCAACTACCACCGCCACCCACCACCACCGACCACCACCCACCACCACCCACCACCCACCAAAGCCATCCACCACCACCACCCACCACCCACCACCACCGACCTTGACGTCGCCGCCCACGCCGTCACCGCCGAGCATCTTGGAGGCCCCTAGGGAGCCGGTGGCCGCGTTGATCGCGGGCCGCGTGTTGCACGCCACGTGCACGAGGGCGCCCAGGATGCAGATCATCAGCAGCAGCTGGAGCGCGTCGCGCGTGCGCTGCAGCCAGGGTGGGTACAGCCGATAATGCTGCTGCTGCTGCTGAAGCTGCTGCTGGAATATCACGTCGGTGCTGCCCTGCATCTTCTTGCTGTAGGCGCTGGCGTCAGCCATGTCCGAGATCGAGTACTTGTTCAGGTCCACGCTCCTCCTTCGAGCCCCTTCCATGGCCTGTCGACAAGAATGCAAAGCGACCGCGGTGTTGGCCCTACTGCCGCTGTTCTTGTTGTCGTTGTTGTTGTTGTGTGATGGTTGCGTGAGTGCACGCGTGTTGGTGTACGTGCGTGCCTGTCTGCTTTGGAGTTTAGGGGTGTATATGGGTGTATGCATATGTGTGTGTGTGCGTGTTGAATTCAATTAGGCGCGCGCGTGTGTGTGTGTGTGTGTTATAAATGTGCTCGCTATCAGCACTTGCCCCAACAGTCTGTTAATGCTACACGTGGGATCTCTGTCTTTGTACCGAGTATGTGTGTGTGTGCTTACGTGTGTACGTCTATAAGTATGTATACATCGGACGTAAATTTACTTCTCAAACTTTAACACACAATATTAAAGCAACACGGCTGCTCCCCTATAGCAAACTTTAATTAAGAGACGCCTGTAATGGCTTTCACGTCCTTCCTTGTGTTTATATAGACCTGCCCCTCACGCGTGTGTACATGTACACTCCCATACACACGTGCTTACGTGCGTACATACACGTGCTCGCCTTGGGCTAGACCCACCTTTAATTACAAGAACGCACGGTGATTACCTGTACCCACCTTTACGTTTCCATCAAAAAGAGGGGGCCTGGGCTAAATTGGGACCACCACCACCACCACCACTATCATTATTAACATCATCATCATTATCACGACCACCACGACCGACAAAATCCAGTCCAGGTGACTCCAATGGTCATTGGTCACTTGGGGGCGGGCCGGGCGGGCGTCTCCATCACTTAGCTGAGTTTCTCATTTTGAAGACCAAACTCGCGATTGCATCGCCGACAGGCGTGGGCCGGGTGGCTCAGAGGTCAAATTACCGAGCTCACGGTGCCTCCGAGGGCTGGGGTCTCGAATCCAGGTTTCAGCCGCCCCGGTGATTAAATCGGTCCTGCGGGTATTGCGAGCGGGACCGCCAGTTGCAGCGCCCAAAATCGCATCGCAACTGGCATGGGATCCGCGTCTAAATGATGGCTAAGATCTTCATTTGAAGCTTTCGTGACTGCAGGAATCCATGCCCTCCGGTTCTTTCGGTAAAAGTCACGTAGATGGAAAATCAATAGATCACGACGTTTCGATTGCAACACCGGCAACCGTCATCAGGTGAGACAAACATAACAGCAGGAGAACTGCTGACGCAGGAGAGAAAGAGGACGACTCGAGAGAGAGAGAGAGTTGCAGCAGCTCTTTCTCCTGCGTCAGCAGTTCTCCTGCTGTTATGCTTGTCTCACCTGATGACGGTTGCCTGTGTTGCGATCGAAACGTCGTCATCTATTGATCTTCTATCAACGTGACTTTACCGAAAGAACCAGAGGGCATGGATTATGGCTAAGACGACTCTTTGTTTCTTTCGGTAAAGTCATCACGTAGTAGGTATACAATAAAATAAATTAAATCACGACATTTCGGGCGCAACACAAGCGTCCGTCATCAGGTGGGACAACCACAGCAAGAAACAACTGCTGAAGTGGGTTAAGGTGTTAGGGTGTTAGGGTTAGGGTGTTAGGGTTAGGGTGTTAGGGTGTTAGGGTTAGGGTGTTAGGGTGTTAGGGTTAGGGTGTTAGGGTGTTAGGGTTAGGGTGTTAGGGTTAGGGTGTTAGGGTTAGGGTGTTAGGGTGTTAGGGTTAGGGTGTTAGGGTTAGGGTGTTAGGGTTAGGGTGTTTCTTGCTGTGGTTGTCCCACCTGATGACGGACGCTTGTGTTGCGCCCGAAACGTCGTGATTTAATGTATTTTATTGTATACCTACTACGTGATGACTTTACCGAAGGAACCAAAGAGTATGGATCCCTGCAGTCACGGCGGAAACTTCAAATCTAGATTATGGCTAAGAATTTGTTTTTTTTGTGGCGTGTGTGCGCGTGTGCGCGTGTGTTGTGTTCGTTTCTTTCGTCCAGCTATGCGAATTGTAATGATGATAAGCTCGGAGTAAGTCGGGCGAACGTTGACCTCGGTGTGGCAGGCTGGGGCGGGCGACGGAGTCGCTGACCTCAAACCGCGCGCCGCACTCGGGAGATCGGCTTGGAGGAGCGATGTCGGACGGAGCTCTGTGTTGTCCGAAGCGTCGCACTGCTCTGCGGTTAGCACGGTTGGCTACGTACGGCGCGAAAGAAGTTCAACACATCCACACATCGAGATCTGTATGGATAGGTGGCGCCGACAGCAACATTCGTGAGACACATGGGTGGAAGTTTGACGATCAAGTACGGTAATGAGGGGCTGTTACGACGAAGTTTGGATAACAACGTTTTTTGCTTTCCTGGTTCTTTCGGTAAAGTCACGTAGGATGGAAATAAAATAATGAAATACAATAATAAAATTCTCACGACGTTTCGGCCACAACACAAGTGACCTTCTTCAGGTGAAGTAACAGGTCTATCCAGAAGACAAGTTCTGTCTTCTGGATAGCCACTTGTGTTGTGGCCGAAACGTCGTGAGAATTTTATTATTTTATTTCATTATTTTATTTCCATTCTACGTGACTTCACCGAAAGAACCAAGAAGATGAATCCCTGCAGTCACGAAAGCTTTAAATCGAAAAAGCTTTTTGCTTTTATTTTTAATTTTAACTTATTTTTTTATTTAAATGTATTTTTATTATTTTCTATCTACTTGACTTTGCCGAAAGAACCAAGAATACAATTAGATAATCGTCCCCACGTTGAACGAATCCGATGGAGGAAATGTGATGTACTTTGGTGATGCCGTGTTGGCGGTGGTGCACAAGCTATGATGAAGGGCGTTACCCGAAACGTCACCTATTCTACATTTTAAGACCATCATGTTATTAACGACTGTGATGAGTTTTTTGATGTTGTTGATCGCGATGTCAACCCATGACACCGCACAGTCGCTGCACAGAATTCGCTCGATCTCGTAGAGCGAGAGAGGACGACTCAGAGAGAGAAAAAGAGGACGCCTCAGAGAGAGAGAGAGAGTGCGACTTCGAGAGAGAGGACGACTCAGACAGAGAAAGAGAAAGGACGACTCAGAGAGAGAGGGGGACTAAGAGAGAGAGGACGACTGAGAGAGAGAGGACGACTCAGAGAGAGAGAGGACGACTCAGAGAGAGAGGACGACTCAGAGAGAGAGAGAGGACGACTCAGAGAGAGAGAGGACGACTCAGAGAGAGAGGCCGACTCAGAGAGAGAGAGGACGACTCAGAGAGAGAGGACGACTCAGAGAGAGAGGACGACTCAGAGAGAGAGGGGGACTCAGAGAGAGAGAGGACGACTCAGAGAGAGAGAGAGAGGACGACTCAGAGAGAGAGGAGGACTCAAAGAGAGAGGGGGACTCAGAGAGAGAGGACGACTCAGAGAGAGGACGACTCAGAGAGAGAGAGGACGACTCAGAGAGAGAGAGAAAGAGGACTACTCAGAGAGAGAGGACGACTCAGAGAGAGAGGACGACTCAGAGAGAGAGGACGACTCAGAGAGAGAGAGGACGACTCAGTGAAAAAGAGGGGACGACTCAGAGAGAAATGGAGGGGGGGTGGACTCGGAGTCGCCATGAGGACGAGCCACAGACGAACAGGAAAACAGCAGCAGCAGCTACGCGGAGAGGAGCCGGCGCCACCAACAATTTCCAAAGCTCTGCGGTCCTCAACATATTGAGGTGTTACCGGCCCATTGATGAGCGTTCGCATGTGTGGGAGGATGAAACCGGAGCGCCCGGATAAGCTCCACGCGCGCAAAGGGGGGGGGGGGGGGGCGAATCGCTCCGTACCATGCAGGCGGAACAAGGTGGAGTCCGCGATGTTTGCTGCTCAGGGTACCACTGCCCCCCCCCCCACCACTCGCCCCCCCCCCACTCGCCCCCCTCCCCCCCACTCGCCCCTCAACACCCCAAGTGGAAGAGAGCTTTGGCAACATTTTGCGTGCGGTGATCCACCAACCCCCCACTACTGCCTCCACAGTACTGGGCTTTACAGGCCACGTGCAGCAAAGACACCACCACCGCCACCACCACCCAGAGGGATGGCTGGTGACTATTTGTGTCTTCATCCCGTTATGTATAAAGGCGGCCGGGCGTGCTGTTGGCCCCCCACCCCCTCGTGTGCCGTTGCCGGCCTTCGCAGGCGCTCGCTAACAGCACTTGCCCCAACGGGCTGTAAGGGGGAGCTTTGCCTTTGTGAACTTCGTCACACGGGGGAGACGAAGGCGGCCGGGCGCTAGACTCGCAGTAGGAGCAGCAGCAGCAGGAGCGATGTGGTACTTTAAGGGGACCCTGTACCCTGTGAGATAAACCCTCAATGTGCCTCTGACGCACGCCTCTCACCCACCCACAGAAGTGTGAGTGACCTACGGGGGTAAGACTCCTGTGCGATGTGCTGCTCATGGACTGCTCGGCGCGGCAGAGGGGAACCTTCAAGCGAGGAAGTGACGGTGAAGACGCCTCTCTTTTCGACGTGAAGAGTGGAAAGAGCTCGCAGCGAATCCGCCATTCGCTGCTAATGGGGCTTAATTGTGGGGTGTGGTGCCATGGGGTGGAGTTGGGGGAAGGGGGCGGACAGGAGGGGGGCTGAGGAGGTCAAATTTGCAAGTCTAACGGGGATTTTATTTTTAGCACCAATATAACCCGCGGCCTTCTGGGAGGGCTACGATTCACGGCAGCGTTGATCGAGCACAAGCGAACGCTTGTGCCGGTTTCGACAGGCAGTGTCTCAGCAGCAGCAGCAATCGGGCTTGCTTGAGAGCAATGTTGGGTGTACTGCTGGATGTTACGGGCAAGGGACCCTCTTGATTCCTAGCAGTGGCGTAGTGACCACATCATCAGCTCAGGGCGTGCGACAATCGGTCAGGTGGGGCTCCGAGATTTGATTTGTCTCGCACGGTCGCACCTCGACTCTTATTATTATTAATTATCGCTGGCTCCTCTTGCCTAATCGGGGGCGGCCGTCCATAAATGACGTCACGCACCTGGGAGGGGGGTCAGACATTTGTGACGATGTGTGACGAGGGTGGGGGGGGGGGTGAGAAATGTGACGTCACATAAAAATGCGCAACTTTAAATGAATATAGAATTGTTGTAACAACACTAATTGTTATAACAACACTGCGATGACAATAGTTTATGGAGATTTGAAGCATGTTTTATTTTCAAAATGGAAATATGTTTTTGGGGGGCGGGGGGGGGGGCGGCAGAGATTTGTGACGTCATATTTGAGGGGGGGGGGGTCTGACTTTTTGTGACGCCGTGTCACGAGGGGGGTAAAAAAGAATCGTCCAAAATCGCGTGACGTCATTTATGGACGGCCCCTCGCATCGTCGTTCCGCTCACGGTCTCGGACATTTAACGCTGAAGGGGGCCGCTCCGTCGTTGTAAAATGCAGCCGCTACGGCAGCACAGTTACCTCTTTGCAACATTACGTTACCGCTCGAATTAAAAATGAGACTCAGCAGAGGAACGTAGATGGAAGCACTGTTGCTGTAAACCATGTGTTGTTGAAAACAAGTCTCACGGTGGTTGTCAAAGGGTGCCCCCAACTCGGAGCTTTGCCCACCAGGGGAGTGGAGGGGGTAAGGCGCCCCCCCCTGCCCCTTACGCTGGTGACGCTGCTGGTTCCGAGTATGGAGGGGGATGAGTTCTCCCCCTGCGCTCTGTGGGGTTTGGTTTGTCAACAACCACGTGGGCGCGCGACAGCGTGTTGTGGGGCGTGAGTCCAGGCTGGGGCATATGGACACGGTGCAGGAGAAATATGTGTGGATGTCAGCACCGCCACGTTGTGGCGACACAACTCGCTGACACACGTCAAACACACGCCTTGCTAAGAACACACAACACACTAATACACAACGTCAAATACACGCCTTGCTAATAACACACAACACACTCATACACAACGTCAAATACACGCCTTACTAAGAACACACAACACACTAATACACAACGTCAGACACACGCCTTGCTAATAACACACAACACACTAATACACAACGTCAAACACACGCCTTACTAAGAACAAACAACACACTAATACACAACGTCAAACACACGCCTTACTAAGAACAAACAACACACTAATACACAACGTCAAACACGCGCCTTACTAATAACACAAAACTCACTAATACACAACGTCAAACACACGCCTTACTAATAACACAAAACTCACTAATACACAACGTCAAACACACGCCTTACTAATAACACAAAACTCACTAATACACAACGTCAAACACACGCCTTATGAATAACACAAAACTCACTAATACATAACGTCAAACACACGCCTTACTAAGAACACACAACACACTAATACACAACGTCAAACACACGCCTTACTAATAACACAAAACTCACTAATACACAACGTCAAACACACGCCTTACTAATAACACAAAACTCACTAATACACAACGTCAAACACACGCCTTATGAATAACACAAAACTCACTAATACATAACGTCAAACACACGCCTTACTAAGAACACACAACACACTAATACACAACGTCAGACACACGCCTTGCTAATAACACGCAACACACTAATACACAACGTCAAACACACGCCTTACTAATAACACACAACACACTAATACACAACGTCAAACACACGCCTTACTAATAACACACAACACACTAATACACAACGTCAAACACACGCCTTGCTAATAACACACAACACACTAATACACAACGTCAAACACACGCCTTGCTTACACAAAATACACTGACACACGTCAAACACACGCCTTACTAATAACACACAACACACCGACACACAATGTGAAACACACGCCTTACTAATAACACACAACACACTAATACACAATGTCAAACACACGCCTTACTAATAACACACAACACACTAATACACAACGTCAAACACACGCCTTACTAAGAACACACTAATACACACCGTCAAACACACGCCTTACTAATAACACACAACACACTAATACACAACGTCAAACACACGCCTTACTAAGAACACACAACACACTAATACACAACGTCAAACACACACCTTACTAATAACACACAACACACTAATACACAACGTCAAACACACGCCTTACTAATAACACACAACACACTAATACACAACGTCAAACGCACGCCTTGCTAATAACACACAACACACTAATA